ATTTTTTTAAAAACCACTAATTGCATCCCTACTGTGTGCAAGTGATTACTCTCAAGACTTGTGGGGAAAAGTAAACCAGAAAGCCATCCATTCTTGCAGAGATCAAGGATGTTACTCAGTGGTTGTGAAAAATCAAACAGCTCAGCCCTTGGCCTCCATGAGGAGTATGCGATAGGCCTGGCACACGGATGGAGGAAAAGCTGAAGATACCTTGGAGTATTGGCTTAATATTTAAGAAAACATTTAAGATTAAGTCCTTTAATCAATTATCAGACCACCTCATTGAAACCATACTACTCCAAGAGACCATATTTATCATTTAATTGGGATTTCTTACCAGAAGCTGTTTTTCCTTATGTCTTTTGTTTGCCAAATTCCTTTTGCATGACTTTTCAATGGATGGTAGCTATTCTCTCTCGATGTGCCGAGAGTGGGAAATATCATTCCTACACCTTTTCTTTATATATATATATATTTTTTTTTTTCTATGTGCAGGAGTAACATGTTTATTTTAGAAATTCTGGATAATATAATGAAAAAGTGAGAATTGGTACCTAAAAAGTCTTCCACAGTAACTGGCCCATTATCTGGTCTATGACTCAAGGGATCTCAGCCCTACAAGAAGCTAAAAAAAGTTTCCTTTTGGCAAGCCAGGAGCAGAAACAAGCTAGGGGATCTCAGAATTCAAAAAAAAAAAAAAGATGTTTCTGCAGTGTTAGGCAGGCCAGACCAAACCCAGAGAAGTAAACAATATTTATTGGTTCTTGCTATCTATAAGCAAGCTAATAAAGGCAATTAGATATTTCTGGCAGGCAGAAGTTGAAATTATAACCCCCAAGGATATACAGAATCTCCACATAAAGTTTTTTTTTTAGGTCTTAATATAATTTAGGACTATGTTATTAACCACACACTAATAAGTTCTTTGTGTATTAATCAGCAGCTCTTCTTGTGCTCATGTAAATAAACAGGCAAATAAAACACCAAATGAATCATACTGATTCAGAAGATTTGTTAAGTTAATAAATACTGTCAAATCCTTGCCTTAAGGCAAGAACTTGAACGCAAGTGAAACTAATATCTTGCCCTGCCCTCATCAGGAGTCAAGATAACCTTACATACTATATGACAGAGTTAGAGGGGAACCCTTGCATTCTGCATCAAACCAAAACAAAGTAAAGCAAACAAAATAAGCAACACAGAAAGTATCACTATGTCCATCACTAGTCCTCACATAAATGTAACCTTGAGCCCCTTCCTATAAATTTTTGTCTCCCTAATGAAAACAACTTTATCCATTGCAGATATGACAATTAAGCAAAAATAATTGCTGTTTTTTCCTCCATAAGAATAAAATCTATAATCTTTGTAATCCATGTAAGATCTTTTTTTTCCTTTAAATTTTATCTGTATTGAAAGTGTCTGGCATCTTTCATGTTGCAATCACAAAATTAAAACAAGTTTTTAGAAGTGGAAAAGTATTCAAAGATTATGGACCAAAAAAAGTGTCCGGCATAGGACCCCAAGTCATTTATACATTTGTCATATGTTTATTGAGCACCTTCTCTGTACCAGGCACTAGGGATGAATCTGTAAACAAAAAGTGAACAAATCATGGGGCAGTCTAAGGAGATAAAGATGAAGCATGGTGGCATTTCAAAACAGAAGGTTAGGAAACATCTCAGATAAAGTGAATTCTAAACAGAGATGTAAATAAAATGAGCAAGTTAGATGAGCAGAAACATAGGGAGGAGATGTCTAGGCTAGTGAAGGGAACATCCAAATCCCTGAGGACTTTGCCATGTTGAAGGAACAGTATGGAGACCAGCATGGCCAGGCCAGAATGAGCTCAAATTGGTCTACCTCGACATGAGGCCAGACAAGCAAGAAGGGCCAGATCACATAGAGCTCTGCAGGTCATGGACATGGTTTTAGATTTTCTTCAACTGTAGCAAGCCACACATGCCAGCGCTAGTGCTTTTTTCCAATGATGACAAAGTGATTCATTAATTAATGCCCCAGCTTGCTCAGGCCTTGGTAAACTCTGAAGTATATTCTACATACTCTTCCCAAGTGTCCTCACAGGATTGAATTCCAGTTGTCCACAGTGACAAATGGCTACGTAACTCACCTTATTGTGGTTTCTTTCTTTTTTTTTTTTTCTTTTTATTTTTTTTATGTTGTTAGTCACCATACAGTACATCATTAGTTTTTGATGTAGGGTTCCATGATTCATTGTTTGCATATAACACCCAGTGCTCCATGCAATACGTGCCCTCCTTAATACCCATCACTGGGCTAACCCATTCCCCCCACGCCCCTCCCCTCTAAAACCCTCAGTTTGTTTCTCAGAGTCCATAGTCTCTCATGGTTCTTCTCCCCCTCCAATTCCCCCCTTTCATTTTTCCCTTCCTTCTCCTAATGTCCTCCATGCTATTCCTTATGTTCCACAAATAAGTGAAACCGTATGATAATTGACTTTCAGTGCTTGACTTATTTCACTTAGTATAATCGCCTCCAGTCCCATCCATGTTAATGCAAAAGTTGGGTATTCATCCTTTCTGATGGCTGAGTAATATTCCATCATATATATGGACCACATCTTCTTTATCCATTCATCTGTTGAAGGGCATCTTGGCTCTTTCCACAGTTTGGCTATTGCGGACATTGCTGCTACGAACATTGGGGTGCATGTGGCCCTTCTTTTCACTACATCTGTGTCTTTGGGGGTAAATACCCAGTAGTACAATTGCTGGGTCATAGGTGTCTTCCCCTTCCCTATTTACTCCCATATTCCCCTAAATGAGTTTACTTGGATCTCTTGCCAAGTTAATGGTGTGCACTACTATCCTTGCCTCAGAATCTTCTTTTGGTGGAACTCAAATTAAGATGGAAAGTTATTCCTCTCATCACTGTCAAGCTAAAAGCCATGCTTTAAGGCTCAACTTACATGGGTGTTCAAAGCAAGCCTAGGATGTCACTCTGTTTGTGCCTTTGCCAACTCTATTCCTTCTGCCTTGCTTTTCCTTCCCCATTTTCACCCAGCTAGAGGCATCATCTTTTAGATTCACCTACTCCTTTAAACTTTTTCTGTCCCTTCCTGTGTAGTGTTACTGCCTCCCCCTTTCTTCTTGCTTTCAAAAGAGAAAACACACGCACATGTGCATACAAACAAAGCCAAGTGATGAGTAGAATTATGATACGAGATTAATGACATAGTTGAAAAGTGCTCTTTCTTCTGTTGTCACTCCAGGAAAATACTTGTTCTTTTTAAATACATAGAGAGGCAAAGAAAAAGGACACCTAACCATTTTCTCTGTGCTTTCTTATGGTTCCCAGATATTTTCTGAAATCATTATTCCTGGTACTGGTTATATTTCCAACACAGCTTTGATTAAATTTCATGAATGGTTGGCAAATTCCTCTCTATAGACAACACATCACAAAGATCAAAAGCATATGTATAAGCACCAATAGGAAATGACGGGGAAAAAATGGTAAGGGAGGATGCTGAGGATTAACATGATTATCTGTAGTTTTTCCTTGGGAGGCCATGTTTAGGATGAGCTGAGTGAGAGCAATGAATAGATTCAGGATTAGGGCTTGGTTTCTAATTTTTTATTGTGATATGCATCAGTTATGTGGGAAAATAAGTGTACATCTCTCTAAGACCTTAACTGGGGCAAACTATAATACTAATGTTATTAAAGAGGCAATAAGCATTACTTATATGAGTAGAATTGTATATTTAGTAATAGCATCCATCCATGCCACCTTGGATCCTAAATGAGCCACATCCCCTTCATTAGTCCTGTCTTCAAGATATTACTCCAGTTTTCACTTATTTATAGTTCCAAGTTATAAGAATTATGCATGAATGCTATTCTTAAATCTTAGAGCTATACTTAGAAGATTTTGTCAGGGTAATGACAGAGTATGCTAACGCCTTATTTTCCCCTGCTATAGAGCTCACCTGCTAAAGATAGTGAATTCGCTGGGAATTCAGGGGAATGACATCTATGAATTCCAGAAAGCACAAGCTTTCAACACTTACACACAAAGTTCAACTGCAGATTCATGTGTGATGGAGAGGTGGAGCAGCCTTCCTCTGTGTTCCCAAGGTCATGGCCAATTTGTGCTGCTTGTCTGCCCTCTTCGTGTCAGTGGACTGGTCTGTGACAGTGCCCAAACAAAGCAGTCCACGGATCAACCGTCACTCACTTCCCTGGTGATGTATGCAGGGCATTCTAATGGCTGTTTCAACTTAGCTCCTCTCCGGGCCACACAAGATTAGCCTGGGCAGGAGACAGTGAGACAAGGAATAAAATGACTAGCTTTCATTTCCTGCAGCACTGAATTGTCCTTCCTGCCCGAGAAATGGGTGTTCCCCATACTAGAAAAATCCAGTATACAAATATCTAAGTATTCAGAGGACTTGAGACTGATTTGTTTTACAAAATGGTTCACAAAAGTTTCCCATTAAATAACCAGTGGAGAAATAGTCAAATTAGCTTATTGGATGCTTATAAATAAGGCAGGGGGTAATTCAAAAGCTTTCTCCACATATCAAAAGTGGAGGTAAAAAAAAAAGAAATACGACTAGATCATGTAGGCATATTTAATAATCGGCTTAATATTCAACATAATAGTCATAAACTAGACTTTCTAGAATGTGGTCTTTCTTAGCATGAATTTTTCTGGAATATATATATATAGAGAGAGAGAGAGAGAGAGAGAAAAGAAGAAAACCTGGAAAAAGATCACCAGAGCCCAGTGTTTGTGATTCTGTTTAATTTTAAACACTCATTTTTTTTTCTTCTTTTTCCTATTCTCATGACTGATTTATCCATTAGGAGAACTGCCAATCAAAGAATTTCAAATCCCATTTTCCAGTTGTGAAACAGTATTGTAAACAATTTCTCTGCCACGATGCATAGGATGTATATTGGTCACACGCCATGAATTTTTCTTCTAACTCCAGCACACTGTCTCTCACATAGACAGCCCCCAACTTCATCCCCTACTGGAAGGACAACCTTGAATCCAGGCTCACGGAGGCGCTGATCCTAATGGGACGTTGCCCTTGAGAGCAAAGTGTTCTTATTTTAGAGAAGAGCAGCATGGTGGCCAAAAAAGTGGATCCACATTCTCTTTCCCTCGGATCTCTTCACCCAGGTAAGGTATATTTACTCCGTCATCTTTAAAACAGTTGCTCAAACGTCACTGTAATAATAAGGCTCTTTGTGACCACACTACCTAAAATCTCTTTACCTATAGCACTCCCCATTTTAATCTTTCACTACACTATCCATTTACTTAATCATTTTGTTTATCTTTTTTTCACCCCTCACTAAAAGGTAAGTTTCACAAGGACAGACACTCTTGTTTATATTCTTCATTGCTGTTTTCCTGGCACCAAAAGAGGGTGTAGCTCATAAGAGGCACTCAACACAATGTCGTAAATGGATGAAAATGAATATAAATGGATGAAAATTGCTATTATTACTGTTTTATAAGTGGAAAAAAATAACAGTGGGGTTTGGAAAGGACAACTAATTTGTCAGGGGTATGGCTAGTAAAGGGTGGAGCAGTTCTGAGGCCCCAGTCTGTCTGACCCCAGGCAAGACCTTCCTCATCACGCTGTGTTGTTTCACAAGTGCTTTGCTGACCCTCATCTCTCCACTTGCTCGGCAAATATTTTCTTTTTAACGAAGATCCCTTCTTTGGGCTTTGGTTCCATATCTCTTCTTTATTAGTGGCCTAATTGACAAAACCAGCTGTGCACTCGGTTTATACACTCCTGAGAAACCGGTTAGTTTGTGTTGGTTTATTTTAATGTTACGCTCACGAAGTGCAAAACAAGTGAGCCAAATATATTTTTGCATTATTTTGGAAACCCCTGCATAATCTATGTGAAAACTCAATACAAATGTTCTGGTTATTTTACATGGGGTTTCAATAATATTTCATGACTAGAGAGTCCATAGGGCATTTTCAAAAATAAGTAATGGGAAGTGGGGCTGAGTAGAGAGACACAGTTGCAGCCCCTCCCCCACAATGCTCAATCACTACAAGCTGGGTAAGAAAGCTGATATAATTGATCCAAGAATATGGTAAACCATTTCATAAATATCATAAAAATCACAAATATTTAAAAATAAAAGTTCCCCAAGTTCTACAGCTATAGAACAAACCACTATTCCACCTAACCCTGTGGGGCCATTGTTTTTGCTTGGAGGACAGTTACCCACTAAAAATAAGCCCATTTCTTCCTGCTCATATCTTTGAAGCTTCTCATGAACTAGTCCTAACCTGGATTGACAAAATTCCAGCCACTCGAGGATGAAGAGGTTCCTTCTTTACCATTCCTACCCCTACTCCATTGACCTGGAGTCAATGAGCCCATCTCCCACACATCTTTGAAACCACAAGATTCATCTCCTGTCCTATGGCAATAGAAGGGCCCTGTGAAGACCCAGGAGCTTTGACATAGGGTCTTTTCTGTTTATTTCATTTCAAAGGATAAAACAGTCTTCCTGATGTTCCTTTGTTATTCCTTTGTTATCCTTTGTGATGTTCCTTTATTAAACTGATGTTCTTGCTCTTGTTAATGTCATTCTAGATCATCAGTATCTCTGAATCACTGAAAGGTTGTTTATTAGGTGGGAAATAAAAATTAAAATAAAATAAAAAATTAAGAATTCAAATTGGAACATGTACACAAACTCATAGTAATATATGACAACTTATCCAGTTCAAAGTTTTAGTGGATGGATGTTTAATCCATCTTAATGTGAACATAAACTTTGAAAACTGCCTCAAGAGCCACTTTCTCCAAGAAACTAAAATAAGATTTGAGTACAGTGTGTATGTGTGTGGTTTTAAGTTTTGAAAAGTCTGGGACCTTAATTTATGAGTAGCTTATTAACTTAGCTATTGCCATGTTATAGCTGGCTATCGGGGAAAGGGAGGAGGCAGAAATACAGAACAGACATGTCTGAATTACACCTCTTTCATGCCTAAGCTCTAAAATGGAGATTAATAATAATTACTCTAAAGGATTGTTGTAACTGTTTTGTGAATAATTATAGATTATTTTTTTCTGGAGTGTAGCAAATAAAGCTATGAGGTATTGTTTAAAAACCCAGGAGTTGAAATTGCAGGGTTTTAGGATGAAGAGTCATGCTGTGACATTTTTTTCTGAACAGGAGAATTATTTAAACATGTAATTGCAATTAATGTGAAATCTATTAGAGAACTTGATCCCTTTACACTTTATGGATGAGGAAATATGCTGCCCATACAGTTTGTATCAGAAATCTGTGGTATTGCTAAATAATTGTATCACAGATAAAATTTTGTTATATGATGCACTGTCTTCCTAAGATATTCTACATTTTTACCATTATACATTTGTACTTACTAGTACTGATATTTATGGAAAAATGCTCTACGTATCAGTGAAATGGTTATAATCTGTGAGATTGAACCAAGGAAGGAGGAAGCTCTTGACCTGTGTAAACCACAAATGATATATTCAATCTCTGGTAACAGAGAGTGGCTACAACCAAGTGTTGCTATAATCTGGGGCAAATTTCTGAGGGAGTTAGATATATTTTAAAGCTCATTTTATTTTATATGTATATGTAATATAATTATACATGTAGATATATTACATATATGTATAATTATAGATAGATAAACAGATATCTAACCTCTGTGGAAAGATGAAGGGCAGATTACTATTCTTTAGGTAGTAAAAATGATGGGAACATTCCTATCTTCTTCAACTTGTCTTTTTTTTTAAAGATTTATTTATTTATTTGAGAGAGAGAATGAGATAGAGAGCATGAGAGGGGGGAGGGTCAGAGAGAGAAGCAGACTCCCTGCTGAGCAGGGAGCCGACGTGGGACTCGATCCCGGGACTCCAGGATCATGACCTGAGCCGAAGGCAGTCACTTAACCAACTGAGCCACCCAGGCGCCCGTCAACTTGTCTTTATTAAACTGTTATAGAACATCTATTAAGTAAACAAAAGAGATCAGTGAGATCACCATGAAGTTGCAGGGATCCTTGAAGACGAAGAGTGGAGCTCTTGAATTATGTATATGGTGCTTTAAAAGTTCTGTTGGTTTTTTTTAATGTGATTAAGGATGGAAGAAGAAACCGTGAAATCTTAGATTTTTTTTTTTCCTTAATTGAGGTTGTCTTTAAATCCACAACCAACGGGCGCCTGGGTGGCTCAGTTGGTTGGGCGACTGCCTTCGGCTCAGGTCATGATCCCGGAGTCCCTGGATCGAGTCCCGCATCGGGCTCCCTGCTCGGCAGGGAGTCTGCTTCTCCCTCTGACCCTCCTCCCTCTCATGCTCTCTGTCTCTCATTCTCTCTCTCTCAAATAAATAAATAAATAAATCTTTAAAAAAAAAAATCCACAACCAACAAGTTACTGTGAGCTTCCCACTGTGGTTAACTGTGAATAACCGTTATAGTTAAATCTTACGGATTGACAAAGTTTAGGCAACTGGGATACATGATCCAGTTCTCCTGGCCTTATCTTACATTTGGATCTCTTCACCTTTTCAAAGTCACTCATTATGAGATTGACAAAGAGCCCAGTTGTCTCAAATTCCCAATGTTTACTATAAACACAGGAAGTTCATAGTTCTCAGAATTAAGCCTAACGCAGAACCTGTTTCCGTGGAATGAATTCTGCCATTTCCCAAAGAACCCAAGTGAAAAATACTTGAAAGAACGTGTACACTGATGAATATCTTATTGATTCAGGCCCCATTCATTTAGAATCTGCAGTCATTCAAACATTATGTGTGAAATGCATCTTTTTATCTACCCACGAAGAAAAATCTAATAAGCAAATCGACAATGCAAATAGGAGTTCTAGAGAGATACCTGACGTACAAGAACTGACCAAATGTTGTTAGCCTTTTTCTGAGATCGGTGTTGTTAATTGGTGTATTATTATTTCAACTTAATTATCGTCACATCCTTAATTGTTATTATCTGTGAGTAATCTGAAAGCTTCTGAAGGACAAAACAATGCAAGTATTTATTGTTCTGTACCGATATGCAAATCAACTTGTAGAGCACCTTTCATTAAATCTTAGCCAAAATACCACAAATGGAAGCCTGAGGGGCCAAGTGGTAGGACAGTTTCTGGGGTACATCTTCCCCTTGACTATCAGGAGCCAGAAAATAAAGCTATTGGTTTGGCTCACTTTCTGCCTGAACTTCTGTGGTTGACACTGAGGTAGAGGTTATAAAGACTTTCTTTGAAAGAGAAACAAACATATAAATGCTAAGATCTGCTTTGTGCTTTCATGTTGTTTTATTTATAATCTTCCAACAATCACAAGAGATATCTTTGGTTAATTCCACTAAATATTTAAATAAATTGAGGCTCGAAAAAGCTAAGCAAATATCCCAAGTTTGAAAAGCTACTCAGTGGTGAAACCCATCTCTGAATCTCCTCTGGTCTCCAAGATGTATGCATTTTACATTCTGTCACATTTCATCAAAGGTGCTGTTAACCTACTAAGAGCTGCACAACACTTAACCCATTTTGTCATTTATCATAGTGGTTTGCATATTCATTCCCTGCACTCAGATACAACTTCTTTTTTTTTTTTTTTTAAAGATTTTATTTATTTATTCATGACAGACAGAGAGAGAGAGAGAGAGGCAGAGGGAGAAGCAGGCTCTCAAGGAGCAGGGAGCCCGATGCGGGACTCGATCCCAGGACCCTGAGATCATGACCTGAGCCGAAGGCAGACGCTTAACCATCTGAGCCACCCAGGCGCCCTTTTTTTTTTTTTTTAAGATTTTATTTATTTATTTGACAGAGAGAGACACAGTGAGAGAGGGAACACAAACAGGGGGAGTGGCAGAGGGAGAAGCAGGCTCCTTGCTGAGCAGGGAGCCTGATGCGGGACTCGATCCCAGGACCCTGGGATCATGAGCTGAGCCAAAGGCAGACGCTTAACGACTGAGCCACCCAGGTGCCCCAAGATACAACTTCTTTATGGGCAGCAGACCTTGTCTAGTTTGCGTTGGTATCCAGAGAACCCAGCACATGTCTTGGCCCCTAGTGTGACTCAATACATTTTTATTAAATGAATATATTCAGAATTAGAGGAACTAGCCCAGAAAAAAACAATCTTCAATTTTCTGGGAATGTTGTGGTACCAGAAAATGGGTTACATTAGCAATGCTTATTTAAATAGAAGAGCAAAAAAATGGGAAGTATTTTAATGCTGCTGATATTACTTGAATGAAAGAGAAGATGTCCTGTAGGTCCCATACAGAGTGTGGTAGAGAATTCCAGGAATGGCCCCCCAGATTCAACGCCTTCATCCTTTGGATCTATAAATGTGATGAGATCTCTTTCTGGTGTTTACGATATGTTTTATGGCAGAGCTGACTTGAAGATAGGGGTGGGCCTAATCTAATCATACAAGCCACTTTAAAAGCAGAGAATTTTCTCTGACCAGTGGTGGAATGAGAATCAGAGATTCAAAACTTGAGAAGAATTTGCCTTACCATGGCTGGTATGAAGACAGAGAGCGTGCCACATGAGAAAGAGTGTGGGTGACTTTAAGAAACGGAGAGAGGCCTGAAGCTGACAGTCAGGAAGGAAATAGAGACTCAGTCTCCTAGCTACAGAGCTGTTGGCTGAATTCTGCCAACAACAGGAATGAACTTGGAGGAGGACCCCAAACCCCAGCTGAGAATATAGTCAGCCTACACCCTGACTTCAACTTTGTGAGATCTCAGAGAACCCTGCGGAACCGGATGCTAACAAGTGGGCGTGTTAGACCCCTAAATTTGTGATAATTCATTACACAACAGTAAAAGCAGATATACAGGATGACAAACTTGTTTTTATAAGAACTAACTCTAAAATAAATGATACTCACTCTCCTCTTTGAAGAAACTATAATGAAATCTTTAAAATGAAAAGTAAGTTCAGGGAACAATGCCCATCTGTTTCAAGGGGTTCAGCAGGAAAGACCTTCATTATCCAATTGTAAATTTACATTATGCATCTATAGTTGCTTTCTACCACATGACAATGGATGTATGCTCTAAGAATGTAATGTATTCTATCGGCTTCTGAGTGGCATCCATATTAAAGAGGCAAAATCCCTTTGGGGGGGGAGCATATTTTAATGATGTTTGAAAGAAGCTAAGGCCTTTTTTGTGGCCTTATTCAACTTCCCCCCAAAACTTGCCTCAGACTCTGTCACATTGAGAAAATATATGTGACTTTCTTTTATTCTTTCATGTGTTTTGAGTTTAATAACATGTGCTGTTTATATTTGGTTTCTATAGAGAGTTCCTTTTTGTCTTGTAAACAGTTGCAAAGATTTACCTAGAGCTGTGTGGGTTTGCTCTTTCTTTCTTTCTTCTCCCATCCCCTTTGGAAAATCTGAATGGTTCCAAGGATTAGCAGCAGCTTAACTTCAGTCATGATTTGTAATAGATAAATGCAGTTATTGTTCATGCTGGCTCTTCAGGAGAGTGTGAAATTAACTAGTTGTCTTGGTCTTTCTTCACAGTCTACATCTTAATAGTCACTCCTATTTGTGTTTCATTGACTTGTCAGAAAGTACCCATAAATGAATCCTCAATGTGAAATGAGGCCCAGAGTTCAACTCATTCTCCTTCCAAATGAGTTAGATACTTCTGGAAAGGGTAATCGACTCTTTTCTCTTATGCGTGTAATACATGACAGATACTGAACTAGTCAAATAACACATGCTGGTTTTTGTGGTCATTAATATTCCCATTTTTCAGGTGAGGGCACTGACAAAGAAATGGAAAGACTTGCCATAAGTGTATAGATCCTAAGCGGAAGGTGTGCATGGAGTTTAAACCGAGATGACTCCACATCCTGCACTTAGGTATGTGTTAGTCCTCATAAATTACCACAAGACTCCTATGTTTTGTTTCCCAGGTAATACTCGGTCCTTGACTCTAACACCTTAAAATCTAGGGTGAGAACATGATAGTCCTCTTGATCTCAACCACAAATATGTTAACAATAAAACTATGAACTCATCTGAACACTTTTATATTTTTAACCTAAGCCTCTTCTTGGAAATGATAATGTTCTATCATCCCCTGGGGGGGCTGTGGATGTTGATCTGTGCTGTTCAATAGGCTATTTTTGCTTACATTTCTTAAAACTGAATAAAAATAAAAATTCAGCTTCTCACACTGACCACTTTTCAAAGGTTCAACAGCCACCTATGTGGATACCATGTTGAATAGTGCAGATGTATAGAACATTTCCATCATCATAATGCATTCAGCTGGACAACACTATGAGAAAGCCACAGTAACATCAGCTAAGCCCTGAGCTTCATGCTGGGTGTGCACTGGAATAAAAATGAAGTAAAATATGTTTTATGGAGCTTAAGGTCTAGAGTGTCTCAAAATTCACAGTTCGTTTATGCTATCAAAAGCATTAAAAATCGCTTGTTTGTTTTTCAGAGTTTCTTACAGCAGGCTCTCCCCAGCTCTGTTATATGAGGTCATGGGAAAGAACTTCCCCTCATCACACCTTCAGCATCCTTAGAGCTTGTAATCATATACCCTCTTAACTGCCAACATGAATGGTATTCATCATTTTCAACCTAAATGTTTTAGGCACTAGACTAAGGATGCTTGAAACATAGACATTAATTAGATATTTTCCCCTAGCCAACCTTTACCTTTACTCCTAGCTAACACCTGTCTTTTGAATCTCAGTCCAAATGCCATTTCTTTTGGAAGCCATCTCTGATTCTCTAGAAACCAAGCTCATTGCCCTTGCTCTGCACACCCACTACAACTCAAACTTGTCATCATAATAATTATCTCTCCTTATTGTCAATTTTAACATAATCAAAGTCTTTGAGCCCCACTTAAACAGTGAGCCCCACATGGGCAGGAACTGTGCTGGGTTCATCACTGGATTTCTTAACTCCTAGAACAGAGCCTGGCACTTTGTAGAGATTTTTTATTTGTTGTATTATTGAATAGCTTTTGTTTTGTTTTGAGAATATAGGCAAAAGAGTCAGCTTTTTAAACATATAATGTACCCTATCTACCCATCACAATATCATCTCTAACAGCAATCACAACAATTCACTTTAGTTATCTTGAGAAAAATGCGATGTCTTTGTTGTGTCTTCTAATGTAAAATAAGTGTAACACAGAAGCTTCCCCCCACCCAAAAAAATGTAAGGCAGCAGGAAATAGCATGTGAAAGAAGGTACAAGGGACCCAATTTAGAATTTTCTCTCTGTTGCCAAATTTACCATATGACCTTCATCCCATCAATATATTGTTTTCTAGGATTCTCATCTATAAAATGCCTATAGGTGGGTCTCCCCCATAGGATTTCCAAAAGAATTAAATTAAATGATGCAGGATTGGTGTCATATGCATGGTAAAATGCTCAACAAAGGTCAGTGTCTTACTTGTTTTTCTACACTCGGGAATTGCTCTGTAAAGAAAAAAAGAAAGAAAAAAAAAAGAAAATGACTGGCAGGTTGCTTTGTTTTTCTTCTTCTTTGGTTTCTTTTAGCAATTCTTTTAATTTATTTGATTCCCCCCCTTTTTTGTTGTGTGTATCTTAGTATCTGATCTTCTTTTTCTTTTCCATTTTTCCCTCCTATAGCATCCTCCCTTTGTCTGGCTCAGCTGATGACACACAAAGAATAATTGAGCATTGACCTTGGCACAAATAAGCATCTGTCTTGCACATTTAGGTTATTATGTTGCCTGTAATTCCTCACAGTTTATGATTTTAAATTACTTTTGGAATTTCTATGTAATTTCAGGTTGGTAGGTTAAAATTGCCATTTTATTTTGGCAGATAATGTGTTTCTAAATGAGTTCTTCCCTATGTACATATTAAATAGTTTCCTCATACAGCAGAGTGACTTTTTGTTTGTCCTTGACCACACTAGAAAATTAGAAACTATGACTTACTTGGCAAAAGTTAACTTACTTTCTGGAAGAAACTTAAAATCTTGCATTTGATTTGTATTGTGTTCATATTGTGTTGGTTATAGAGATACTCATGTCTTTGTTTTTTTTTTCTTGAGGAAAAAAAGGAACAGAAGAGATTCTCTTACAGCTATTGCTTTCAAAGTTACTGCTTTCTTGAAAGTTATTTTATTTTCCTTTTTCTCTTACTTAGTTATTGATGGGTATGATAGTCTGAATAATGGACTCCCAAAGAAGGCCACATTCTAACCCCCGAAACCTGTATTTTATCTTCAAGGCGGCCAAAAAAGACTTTATAAATGTGATTAATTTAAGGATATTGAGATGGGGAAATTATCCCAGATTATCTGGGTGGACGCAATGTAATCACAAGCGTTCTTATAAGAGGAAGGCAGGAGGGGCAGAGACAGAAATGTGACAGTTGAAGCACAGTTTGCAGTGTAGAAAGACCATGAGCCAAAGAATGTAGGCTGGGAGTTGGCAAAGGCAAGGGAACTTATTCTCTCCTGGAGCCTCCAAAAGAAACAGTCTAATGGCACCTTGATTTTAGCCCTGTAAGACTTAAGATTTCTGACTTCCAGACTGGGGGATAAATTTGTAATGCTTTAAGCCATTAAGTTTTGGGTAATTCATTACAGCAGCAATGTGAAACTAATACGACATATTAAAAATGATTTTTTCTTTGTTTCCAAAGTCCAAAACTAGCTGGAAACCTACAAGTATACCTTTAACATCAAAGCAGGCTGCTCATGTACTTAAGTGCACATCTTCTTACCAAACTGTTGTCGCTGCACATTTGAGCTGGAAGGAATCCTTTATTCCTATAAAAAGGAGGCAGATACCAAGTACATTCTGGACTGTGAGTACCAAGGACATTTGTATAATCCTCTGAAAACTAATAGACTGAGAATACCTATGTATATCTATTTTTAATTGATTCTGAGCCAATATGCAAAGCTTTCCTTTCTACCCAGATTAAAGATCACTTGAGGAAAGTGTTTCCATGCCAAAGAATTATTTGTTGACTAATAGATTTGGGAGAGTTTAATTGGCACTCATTTAAATGAGGTTGAATAAAATCAGTTTTGTGGGCTACAGACAGGGACAGTCTTGAAGAGAGACACTCGTACTTTTTAAAAATAAGCAAAGTGTCCTAGGAAAATTTTGAAGCACACCTGTTGGGGGAAAAATGATTCTCTCCTTATTAGCTTCAGTGGTTTTTCATAATAGTGGTATAATAATATGGAATAATAAGAAAACTTATTCAAACAAAATACATTATTAGGCAGTTAGCCTGGTTAACCTCTGACACCTGTGAAACTGTACTTGGAACCTCATGGGCTATGTTGTGTCTCCATTTGTTTTGGCCATTGTCACTGAGTCTCTTGGGATCATGAATTAAACCTCCCTGGATTGGGATAATACATGATTTTTAAGATTCTTTCCTATTCTAAACACAGATTGATGCTATGAGTTCATTTTAACTCACTTTATATCACTTATAAAAACAAGAAAGGAAAAATTAACAAACTTTTGCTAATACACAGCTTCCCAAGGAAATCTCCCTGACTTCTCTGTACGTCCTCCTTTGTGTTCCATTGACAACCTCAGCAAACCTCTATTATCCCCATGTTCATATTTTATTCAAAGTATCTTCTTATGAGCTCATCTTTCTCTTTTGGCTATAAAATCCCAAGGGTACAGACCAAGTCAAGTTTGTTTTAGTTTGTTATAGGCCCTCAAATAAACACAGGGTAGACCCAAATATACAGTTGACCATTGAACAGCATGGGTTTGAGTTGTGCAGGTCCACTTATACACAGATTTTTTTGTAGATACAGATTTTTTTATAATACAATACTGTAAATGTATTTTCTCTTCCTTATGATTTTAATAACATTATGTTTTCTCTAGCTTACTTTATTGCAAGAATACAGTATGAAGGGCACCTGGGTGGCTCAGTCATTAAGCATCTGCCTTTGGTTCAGGTCACGATCCCAGGGTCCTGGGATCGAGCCCCGCATCAGGCTCCCTGCTTGGTGGGAAGCCTGCTTCTCCCTCTCCCACTCCCACTCCCCCTGCTTGTGTTCCCTCTATGCTGTCTCCCTCTCTGCCAAAAAATAAGTAAAAAATAATCTTAAAAAGAAAAAAAAGAATACAGTATGTAAAACATATAAAATACAAAATATGTGTTAATGAATTGTTGTCAGTAAAGATTCTGGTCAGTAGTAAGCTATTGGTAGTTAAATTTGGGGGGAATCAAAAGTTATACAGGTTTTCGACTGTGCAGGGTGTCAGTGCTCCTAATTCCCATTGCTGTTCAAAGGTCAACTGTACGTTTGTTGACCACTTCCAGTGCTTTCCTTTAAGGTGCTTGAAGTGGAAATGTGGATACTTCTTTCTGGGGTTATCAGATATCTTCTCTAAGTCAAGCAAAATATCCTCAGTTTAAAATCCTCACTCTTTGGGCTTCCCCAAGATGGTGGCTGAGTAGGAGGACCCTAGGCTTGGCTCATCTCATGAACACAACTACATAACTATCAAATCATCCTAAATACCCCAGAAATTGGCCTGAAGACTGATATAACAAACTCCACAACTAAAGGAAGAGAAGAGGCCACATTGAAGACAATAGGAAGTGTGGAGTTGTGGTTTAGGGGAGAAATGGAAAGAGAGTGCTTTGGAGGGGAGGGAGCTGTGGTCACAGAGAAGGGAGAGAGAGAGAGAGAGAGGAACGTACAAGGGAATGCATAAGGAGAACATTTCCCCAAAGCCATTAGCTTGGAAAATGAGAAGGGCTGAATTTCATGAGTTCTTATAACCAGCGGGGCTTAAAGCCTGGAGTTTCAAAGGTTAGCAGGTTTGCCTGGGATAGAGCCTGGAGGGCATTGTGCTGCTCCTGGAGAGAAGGCAGGCAAACAACCTGAGGGCAGACAGAAGATTGGCCTGAAAGACAGAGCAGCCAAAACACAATAGCAGAGTGCATCCAGCACACACTGTAGATGCTCCCTGAAGCATCAGGCCCCTGGCAGTACCTGACCTCTTCTTCATAAGGCCGTTACTTTCAGGAGAAGGAGACATAACTAGCTTTTCTAACACAGAGAAGAAGGCAGAGACTTAGACAAAATTCCAAGAGGGAAGAATTTATCCCAAAGGACAGAACAAGATAAGGCCATGGCTAGAGATCTCAGCAAAACAGATATAAGTAGCATGCCTGATGGAGATTTTAAAGCAACAATCATAGGATACTCACTGCGCTTGAGAAAAGAATAAAAGATATCAGTGAGATCCTTACAACAGAGATAAAAGTTATAAAAGAATCAATCAGAGATGAAGAATACAATAAATGAGATTGGAAGCAGGCTTCATGCAATGAACAGCATGCTGGAAGAAGCAGAGGAACAAATTAGTGACCTAGAAGATAAAATAATGGAAAATACTGAAGCTGAACAAAAAAGAGAAAGAAGAATTATGCAACACGAGAATAGATAGGGAACTCAGTGACTCCATCAAACATAATAACATTTGTATTATAGGAGTCCCAGAAGAAGAGGAGCAAGAAAAGGAGGCAGAAAATTTATTTCAAGAAATAATAACAGAAAACTTCCCTTATCTGGGGAAGGAAACCAACATCTAGATGCAGGAGGCACAGAGAATTCCCATCAAAATCAACAAAAGCAGGCCAACACCAAGATACATTGTAATTAAATTTGCAAAATAATAGTGATAAAAAAATCTTAAAAGCAGCAAGACAAAAGAAGTCCTTAACTTACAAGGGAAAACCTATAAGGCCAGCTGGAGATTTCTCAACAGAAAGTTGGCAAGCCAGGAGGAAGTGACATGATATATTCAAAGTGCTGAATGGGAAAAATCTGCAGCCAAGTATACTCTATCCAGCACATCTATCATTCAGAATAAGAGAGATAAAGGGTTTCCAAGATAAACAAAAACTAGAGGAGTTCGTGACCACTAAACCGGCCCTGCAAGATATATTAAAGGAGACCCTTTGAGTGCAAAGGAGAGAGCAAAAGTGACAAAGACAAGAAAGGATCAGAGAAAATCTCCAGAAACAATGACAAAACAAGTAATAAAATGACAATAAACACTTATGTATTGATAATTGCTTTGAATGTAAGTGGACTAAATGCTCCAATCAAAAGACATAGGGTGTCATAATGGATAAAGTAAAAAACAAGACCAGTCTGTATGCTGCCTACAAGGGACTCATTTTAGACCTAAAAAGGCACCTGCACATTGAAAGTGAGGGGTTGGAGAAATATTTATCTCTCAAACGGATGTCAAAGGAAAATCAGAGTAGCAATACTGATATCGGACAGCCTAGACTTTTTTGTTCTTGTAATGTTTTTATCCTGCTTTACTGTCAGGGTAGTACTGGACTCCTGGAATGATTTTTGAATGTGTTCCCTCTATTCCATTATTTGTAAGATTTTGAATAAAGATTGTCATTAATTATTTGCTAAATGTTTGGTAGAATTCACCAATGAAACCACGTGGTCTTGGGCTCCTCTGTGCTGGGAGATTTTTGATTCCTAACTCGACTTTCATTCTTGTTATTGGTCTAAGAAGATTTCCTCTTTCTTGGATTCAAGATTCATGATTCAGGATGCCTGGGTGGCTCAGTCACTTAAGCATCTGCTTTTGGCTCAGGTCATGATCCCAGGGTCCTGGGATAGAGTCCTGCATCGGGCTCCTTGCTCAGCGGGGAGCCTGCTTCTCCCTCTGCTTGCCACTCCCCCTGCTTGTGCTCTCTCTCTGACAAATAAATAAATAAAATCTTTTAAAAAATTTTTTAAAAAAGATTCATGATTCAATCTTGGTAACTTGTGCATTTTTAGGAGTTATTTTTCTAAGTTATCTGATTTGTTAGTATATAATTTTTTATAGTAGTGTGCTATCACACTATTTCTGTGGTTATGTGCTGTATTGTTTACCGTTTATCATTTTGGTTTTGAGATTTCTCTCTTTTTTTTCCCTTAGTTTATTAGTTAAAGCATTGCCAATTTTGTTCATTTTTTTGGTCATTACACTCAATGTTATGTTATTATTTATTCTGGTCTCTATCTTATTTATTTCTAATTTTTCTTTGTTATTTTCTTCCTTTACTAAATTGCAGCTAAGTTTTTTCTTTTTCTATTTCCTTGTGGTATAATGTTAAGTTGTTTATTTGAACATTTTTTTTAATACAAGCAAGCATTTATAGCATAAATCTTACTCTGACATCTGCTTTTGCTGCATCCCATAGGTTTTGGAATATTGTGTTTTCTTTTTTCTTTTTTTGTTTTGAGACATATTTTGATTTTATGTTTGATTTCTTATTTGGCCCAATGCTTGTGCTGTAGTGTATTTAATATTTACATATTAAATGTTTAATATTTACATTGTAGATTTTCTAGCTTTGTTTTATTGTTGATCTTTAATTTTGTACCATTGTGATTGGAAAATATATGTGGTATAATTTCAGTCTTCTTAAATTGGTAATATTTGTTATGTCCCTTTTATGTGAATTAACCAGGGGATTCTTCTGTGTGTACTTAAAGAAAATGTGTATTCTATTTTCTTGGATGGAATGTTTTATATATATCTGTTAGAACCATGTATTCTAAAGTATGCTTCAAGTAAAAAATGTTCTTGTTGAAAAAGAAAAAAATAACTTTAATGGAGGGTATTCATAGGTGGTTAGGGGAGATGGGTGAAATAGGTGAACAGGATTAAGAATACAGGGATTAAGAATACACTTAGATGAGCACTGAGAAATGGTGTATAGAATTGTTGAATCACTATATTATACACCTGAAACTAATATAACACTGTATGTTAACTATACTTGAATTAAAATTT